TGAGTCGACGCGTGGTGGAAAGCCGTGTCCGCCGCCCCCGCGCCCGCGCCACCACCACCTCGGGTCCCCGGGGAGCGGTTCGCCCCGCTGCCCATTCAGATACAAACAGAAGCTGTGGGGCAAATTTAGGTCACAGGCACCTGAGGATCGCGGAGAGGTGCCCGGGAAACTTGGGGTCGTGGGGAGTGGGGAGGCGAGGGGAGCGCTTGCTGAAAAGAAAATCCTCCCAAGCCTAGCGTTATTGTCACAGTCTGGCCCCCGCTTGTCACCGCAGATGTTCCGCGCTTGTCTTTGGTATTTAAATCTGCACGTCCCCCCAGCTGAGAAGAATTTTTTTGTTTCCTAGGTGGGAGAGGTCTGCTTTTTCCCCTCTGGCCGGCAGGCACACCCCAGGTCACCCCTTCTGCACAGATTCAAGCCAGGAGGTTTGGCAGTTCCCGCGGGAGAGGCCAGTTTGAGGCAAAAGGCTATGCGGAGAGCCACAGAGGCTAAATGAACACATTTTAAAGAGTCAAAGAATTCTTCCAGAAATAGGCAGAGGGACTGGGGATAAGAGAGGGGGAGAAGTAGGGGCAGGGGAGGAGGAAGAAGAGAAGGGAGAGGAGGAGGAGGAAGAAAGAGGTAGAATGTGGGTCCTGGGTGGGCACAGCATTGTAACTGCGCGTTGAGGGGTGGTTTCAGTCCCTCTGAATAAATAGCAGCAGTTTAAGCTTAAAGGGTTGGGTATGGTCGCTAGAGGAATGTAGGTTAAGAAAAACATTGTTGCTTCTGCTTTAACTAATGTGCTATTTTGTACAGAACGGGATAATTTCCCTTTTGTGGGCATACATTTTCCCTAGTACAGTCAATTGTTCATGTATGCCAATAACAACATGGTAAAAGAAGGATGGCCGTGTTAAATCCACAAGTCAGTCCTATATCCTTTTGGAATGCAGCCAGCTCCACACCCTGGGGAATATTGTAGGTGGGCTTTGCAGTTCAGGAACAGCCTGATCCTCTCCACAGCCCTCAGGATGGTTCTTCTAGTCCCCTAGAGGAGAGCTTGAAGAATCTGGTGACTTGCCCAAGGTCACTGACTCAGTAAAGGGTTTTGATGACCCCACCTGTTACCAGGACACCTGTTCAGTCGTGTGAGGCCTGGACGGAGTACATACAACTCCTCTAGGCTTTAGTTTCCTCACTTTAAACTCAAGATACAGTCGAGGTACAGTAGCCCCTCAAATTACGACCAGCCTAACATACGAACAACTTGGGTTAGATTAATGGACGATTCATCTGCCTCTTGTTATCTATAGTATGTACCCAGGTAAACATCCAGCTCTCAGCTGTACTGACTTAGTTACAACCAGCCCTCGGGAACCAATCAAGTTGCTAAGTCAAGGGCCCACTGTATGAAGAGTACACACCTTGTAAAAGTTGATTAACTGCAAAGCGTTTTAAGGTTCTGCCTGGCCCTTAAGAAGCACAGAATATATTCATCTCCCATGCTGTGAATCTCCATTAGGTGGGTCTTGCTCAATAATAGCTCCACCCACCACTAAAAGAAATGTAAAACTTAATTTAAAAGTTTGCTGAGGCTGACGCACACAACTTCACTATATCAACAACTTGCTCATTAAAACGGAGTCATTTTCCCTGACAATTCTTACCACCTAAATTGCCTTAACTAATTTTTTTTTTTTATAACTTGAGAATACCCTTCTGCGTCTGTGCTTACGGCTGGATTTTTAAAAAATTAAACATATGGCTCCTGAAAACTTCCCAGATGTATACCCTCCCTGATTTCCTACTAATTACCTAGTACTACCTACTAACTACCTCACAGTCTCAGGAAGACTTGGCTTGTGAGGAAACAGCAGTGGTTTTACCTGAACTTTAGGCTGTAGATCCTCAGTTCTTGCTAAATATTTTGTTTCACTTGGATACTAGCAGGAGATCCTTCAGAAACAAAGATTCTCCTGGTTGTTTGAATAAACCTCCTTTGATGTAAACCTGTAATAAATGTTAGTTACTGTTACATTTTGTTAGATTATGTCTGTCTCCAGCAAGTCATGTCTATGTCTCTGACCTTTCTTACCCTGTATCAGGCCTCTCCCTTATAGAAAATCTTTAGTATTTCATTCTAGATCTTCAGCTGCTCAAACTGCTGTAATTATTATTGCCTCCCACATTTTTTTCTGCAGAGGTAAAAGAGTTAATTTTCATTTTGAAGTCATGCAAACTAGCTAGAGTTCCAGACAAGGAAAATAAGGTCAGATCTAGTCCTACTCTTATCCATATTTCTTGGCTACCATATCTGTATGTGGTTAACTCTAATTTGTAAAGAAATGCAAACTCTTTAAATAACAGAATGCTTGAAAGATGCAGAAGAATGAGGGGAAAAGAAAGAAATTAAGTAGATAAAAAGAAAAAAATACAAAAATCAAAGGATGCTTAAGAGAATTACATCTCACTCACAGGAGTAAAATGGGGGACAATTTATTTCATTGTTTAAATCAAACATTCCATGAGAGATTGCTTTCATAACTCCAAAGGCCTCGCTGATCTATAGTTGGGGAAATAGGGAAGCCATCTGATATAGCTAATCACATGCAAACATAATTTGCAAAAGCAGAATATTATAATAAAGAGTTGGTTGAGCACACAGATTTTACATCTTTAAAACCAAAAAAATGCCATTAAAATTGGACTGCGGCAAACCTGGGACATCTTGGCAATATCTATAAGCCTTCTCAATTTACCGACAGGAACAAAGGTCCAGAGATAGTAAGCCACCCTCCCAAAGTCACTTAAGAAAGATACTTCATGTGCTATTTTAGAATAAATTGTCTTTCAAACGTTTTTAAAAATGTATTATCATGCACTTTTTGTTCAGAATTTTCCTATAAAAGAGTTGTTCTGTAATTGCATCAATTACAATTTAATCACTTATTTTTCCGGTGCAATGCTGACTTTTTAAAAAATAGTCATCCATTGTATTGAATGGCTCTGCCAAATGTAAAAAGCAGACATTCAAAAACGGCACAAAAATGCAGTTCACAAATCACAATTTTAAAAAATTAAATATTCATGCCGTATCAAAATAGCCACCTATTACTGCCAAACGCACATTGACATTTCACCATAGTTTAAAAGTATTTGCCAAAATATCTCCTCTCTTAAATCATTTGCACTCCCAAGATGCACTTTGTTTCCTAATAGTAGGAGTACTTTCACAGTACAAGTGAAAGTAGTTACATTCATGAGGGTCACACTGATTATTCTTTGTTCAAGACTCTACAGAATCTTTTTGTTTTTTGAGACAGGGTCTTGCTTTGTAGTTCATGCTGACCCTGAACTCACTATGTAGCCCAGGCTAGCCTTGAACTCGCAGCGATCCTCCTGCCTCAGCCACCCGAGGACTGGGATTACAGGCATGCGCCACCACACAGGGCTGCCAGAATCTTGAGTGCCTAAAATGAGGTAGATAAACTTTTAAAGGTTTTGTTGTTGGGATTAATTTTCTTTCGATCTTGATCATCTATTTTTCATAGAATTCTAAAATACTTAGTAAAAGGCTGAAAATGTCTGAGCATTTTGCCTTAAAATGGAAAAATATAATTTTAAGAGGTTATCATGAAAGTTGCTTTACCTCATTTCAATTTAAAAATAATGAAATCATCAAATTACAAAACTACCACGCATCTTGAAGCTGACCACCCAATATGAGAACATTTCAGAGACCCTGGCTCCGCTTCCGGCTTGGGAGTATACAGGGGAAGAGACCCCTGGTTAAGCTTTCTGGGCCCAGACCAGCTGCTGCCCTTTAACCTTTGACCCTTAATGTCAAGCTCTTCTAGAGTTCAGGCCCAATGCGGGGAGGTGAGGTGGGAGGGTGGGTGTCGTCTCTGTAGAAGCCTCTCACTGAGATCCAGAACCCCTCCTCTGGAGAAAGGTCCAGTCTCAGAGGAGAGCTGGGGGAGCAGGCCCACCGGGGTAGAGGCTGGAGGCGGCTGCAGAGGAGGAAGTTGGGGACAAGATGGAGCTGCAGGTGTCCCGCCCCAGTATCGGGCAGGCCCGTTAGATCAGAGAGGCCATAACCCCAGGGCCCTTCAGGTGGTAGGGGGCAGGCTGGGCATTAAACCAGCTAAAGGCCCCGCAGCGGGTCGACGAGAGCCTTCCGGGAAGGCGGGTAGGCCACTGCGGACCTTGGTCTTCTTACGCGGAGCCATGGGGGAGGCGCCCAACAGCCTGCTGAAGGAACTCGACTTCTTCAGGCCGCGGCCCAGGTCCTGCAGCATCAGGTCGTCAGCCAGGACGCCCAGGAACGCGCTGGTGGTGGAGCTAAGGATGGTGGCGGCCACCTGCACCGGATGCCGCGCCGCGAGGCTACCGGCCCCACCGCCGGCAGCGTCCGGCTTCGTCACCCCTCGCA